CTTTTTTCAGCCATGTCGGCAGGTGCTCCTTTATTCTTTTGGATAGGCGTCGACTCGTGGAAGCAATATAACTCACTCCACTGGAACAAGTAAACGAGTAGATGCACGTGGAAGTGGTCTGAGCTGGCTACCTATCATTACCTTCCCCGTGTAAGACCGGGTTTGTTGCGAATAATACCAAAACTCTCGCCATATTCCTTGTAAAAAATCTGACGGTAGCGTCCGAAGGAGCGTTTATCGAAAGAAAACCTTGTCTGGACAAGATATGAACTTAAATAGTTTCTTACCCCTCCAAGAGAAGCGAAATCTACAGTAAGTGCACAAACACATAAAATGTGTTCGAAAACGTAATGAAAGTCATTTTGCGGGAAGTCAGCACACGCGGCGTGTCCCCAAACTCTTATAACAGTAAAGTAAGAACCACAAGTAAGAAAATTCAGAGTTTGGTTGAGAAATTACTATTTACTAGCATAAAAAAATTTAATTTTTACAAAAATCTGCAATTTCATATAATGGCAATATTAAAAGTCACTGGTCCAATGTGAAAAATAAATATGTTTAAGGCATGAAAATGGAGAAGAATGGTAAGTTAATCCAGAATAAGTAGAAATACAAAATTTGCATAAATTAAATTGTTTCCAATAACATTTAAACTTGCATCAAATGTGTCAGAAATGGATGTGGTCACCTTAAATACCATTTTTCCCAATGTGGATACTTCGTAAAAATTTCCGTTTTTAATGCACGAAAAGATACTTGCGTGCTTTATATCAAATTCTATTGACAAATGCAAAAAGATTTTCTATGGAACTCATATCCCGGCTGTTGAACGGAATAAAAATAGACTGACTGCCACACACGGATAGGCTGGCTGTTTGCTAAAAAGTTAGATCACGGTTTCACTTTTAATCAAATTCATACCACCTTGTGTATATTGAGAGAAATCCTCATTTGTCACATTTAAAAAAATTACTTCGAGAGTTCGAGTGCGACGAGCAGCAAACTGTTTTGGAAATTCTGCTGAA